CCCCGGCCTCCCTCCCCACCGTCCACCCTCTCTCAATGTGTTTTCTCCTTCATTTATCCAAGATGAATGATCAATCCGGAGATTGAAGCTGGCCTTTTGTAAGACGACTACGTTGTCATGGATTCTCTCAAATCATAGTTCTTCCACAATTCTACGTCTTGACGGATTTATAGGAAGATTCCGCCAACCACAAAAGATTCATGACGCCCGAGGTTATGGAGGAACAACTAATGAATGTCACATGGTTTATCAAGATGGATTCTCCTTGAAGGTGATCATCTCCCTTGACTCTGGTATTTTCATATTCTATCTCCTTCGTAGAGAGATTGTTCAAGCTAGAGATTGTGTTCCATTATCGCCATCCATTAGTAAGCTTAGGATTGTTGTTTTGTTGCTATTAGATCTCTTTGTTAGATCAAGATTATGTTGGAAGCTATTTTGTATGCATTGCTTTGGATGTTCTTAAATGTTTTGAGTTTGCTTAGTCTATTGCGTAGCTTAGCTTAAATGGAAGTAACCGCTTATTACCTTTATTTTGTTGTTTTATTCAATAATAACTAAAAATCCAAATTGCTCTTTGATTTGTTTTTGTGCAAATTTCTAGTTTCACATATAGTCCTGCATCAACTGGTATCAGAGCATGATTTGTTCTAGTTTTGCATGCTAGCCATCATCCTAGGAGTTGTTTTAACTAGTTTTATACGTTGTTGCAGGCAAGCTATCATTTAAATTAGTTTAATTACATTTTATGCTTGTTGTCCACTGCTTTCCTGCATGCATTTAGAAGTTGTTCAGCTTGTTTATCAATTGTTTAGGTGTTGTCCTTAGTTATCCAACCTCTTTACTAGTATTACTAGGGTGACTTAGTACCTTTGTGTTATTTGTTCTCTATGAGTTTCCAGCACCATTTAGAGTCCCCTTAGGGTGTTTTTCCCTTATGTAGATTGTTGTCCACTTCTTAGAAAACCTTCTAAGTAACCCATTGTGTTTAGGAATGGACCCGAAACAACTAGGGAGGACCTTAGACCTCTTGGTAGGTCAAATGAACACCATAAGCCAGCAGTTGAAGGAGAACCAAGCTGACCTAGTAGAGCTTCGTAGGAACACAACTGAAAGGTTTGACACGTTGGAGAAAGCTAGAGAAACCTCGATTCCCTACACCCCTTCTAGACCTCTGTCCATGTATGGGGATGACGTTTACCACGATGAGGGACCCCCTTGTGCCCATAATCGTGCTTCCTAATATGAACATAACCATCCTCACGACCCTGATGTACCACTCATGAAAAATATCAAAGTGGATGCTCCCACCTTTGATGGCACGCTAGATCCCCAGCTCTTCCTGAATTGGGTCAAAAGTATGGACAGTTTCTTCAAGTGGTACAACATTTTTGATGCGATGAAGGTTAGTTTTGCTGAGATGAAATTCTCGAGTAGGGCGGGGCAATTTTGGTCTAATTTAGAAAGCCTTAGGGAAGCCCGCAATGAGTATCCCATTACTGATTGGCTCACTATGAAACGGGAATTGAAACACAAGTATGTACCTCCATCCTATTTCCCCAGACTATTAGACAAGTGGAATAGGCTGACACATGGTGGCAAACTAGTCAAGGATTACATCACATCCTTTGACGACTACTTAATTAGATGCAAGGGGGAGACCGCTGCTACCCCCGTGTAGATTCTGTCCATGTTTCGTACCGGGTTGTGAGAGGATCTTCGCAATGAGCTTTTTGCCCGGAATGTTACTACTTTGGAAAATGCATGTAGCATTGTTCTTGAACTTGAGGAGAGTTGGTCCCAACATCCTAATCGGTCCCATGAT